CCTTCCCCACGGGCATCAGAGCTTTCCCTGGGTATTCATGTCCAGAAATGATATGTTTTATCTCAGAGATTAAAGAAAGTGCTGTTTTAAGAATCATCCAGCTAGTTACTGCCTGGAAACTCTCAACCAGAGATGAGAGCAGCTACCATAGAGCTCTTCCACTAGCACACTGTTTGTGGCTCCATATGGATGTCTTTTCTATCCCTTTCTTCCTGTATCATATATTTTCCATCTATGCTTCTAAAGAAAGCTGCTCCAAAGGAAAAATGCTCATTATGAATACACAGAATTAATTTACCAACTGGTAGGGCTGTTTCTAAGTGAGGGAACAGATTTTAGTTGAATCCCTTTTTAATGTTTGCTAGGTTGTACATCTGTCCACTATCTATGCTTGTGTTCCTACTCTACACCCACCGATACAAGGGCAAATAGTCAGTCCTTTTATTCCACCATGATCTGAAGGATCACTTTGCCTAATAGTATAACTGAACAACAACAACACACACACAAAAAAAAAACTTATGTAGCTTCCCAATGCTTCCAAATTTTTTGTTTCTGGATAATTACCCTAGTAAATTCCTGTTATAAAAAGCTGCCTACTTATAGTTTAGCTATACATTTTCTATGAAGCACAGAAATAGTTTTTCTTTTATCATAATGAGTGCTCATTAGCTTCCAAAATATTGGTAATCACAATACAAATATGTGAAATATATGTCCTTGTAATAAAGTTGGCTCTATAGTCATCATGGTTGCTTAGTTATATCATGATATAAGTTTAAAAGCAAATTGAAAATATCATTTAAAGATATTCTTAAACTGTTTTAAAATTATGATACTATTCATGCATATATGAATTATTTTGATAAATTGAAGGTAAAGTACTAATGACCCTAAAGTAATTGTATTTATTTTGTGTATACAGGCTAAGTACTTAGACGAGACAACAGATGGATTAGAAATGTTCATTAAAGTTAAAAAGGCTATGCTCCATGACTCAGCTGGCCTCTCTGTCATGGGAAGCGAGTTAGCTGCAGTGAAGAATCGGCACCGAGGGGGGAAAGAGAACATGTGTTTTAGCCCGAGTCTGAACGAGACACGAGTGGATCTGAGCAGTGAAGCTCGGAAGCTTGGCTTGCAGCAACAGTCAGTCTGTGTATCCGCATGGATTGATTTTTGTACCTCAGTATTTTTTGACATTTACTATTAATAAAATCTGAGTGAATGATATGAGAGTCCTCTTGTCTTTAAAGCTCAAAGGGCACAGTTAATAGTTTAATACTATTCGTGAGACCAAACACACATAGATGAATCTAGTAATCATATTCTGTTGCTGTTGAAATGTTTTAACGTCTATAAATCATTACTTTTACAATTGTTCTTGTCAAGTAACACCAAAATATTATTGAGGGAATATTTGTGGCAGCAAATTGAATGCAACTCTTCAGGAAGAGCTGGAGTTGCAATGTCCTTTCTATAAAGACGTTAGTAATATTATAACGTTAGTTAGATTCACTGTGTATCTACATACTTCGTATTGGGGTGCATACATTCACTTGTGCCATTTGTCATTTATTTGTGAAGAAACTGAAGCTCTATCACAGTTTTTTGAAATTTTAAACAGACAACGCTTACAAACTGATCATCTACATGGTTGTGTGACTGAAACAGCTTCTTCTATTTTGTGTTATAATTATTTGAGTCCGTAATTTCTATTGCATATTAAACTATAGTCTTCTTGAAATCCATTCCCTTGCCTCATAGGGTCTGAATTCAAGATAAAGACTAAATATCTATTTGTCTAATCAATGAATTGTTCTCTTGATCAAATATCCCATGGGAACAAAACATTGCAAGGCAATTAAATAATGGACCAATCTAAACATATATGACATAATAACAGTGATAGCTAGAAACTTCAATATTTTTATAGATATGCAAAGTACAAGAAATGACTATTTTATATGAATTAAGTAGTATAAATATGGCTACTAAGTTAATAGTTTAATTTTCCTTTCATGAGATTATTCATGTAAGTGTCCATTTCTAGCAAACCCTGCACAAGGTAAATATTACATAGCTAAAATTGTTGACCTTACAGTTGTTTATACGCTGTCTTTTATTACTTCTTTCATTGATGGTGAATTTTAGACTAGCAGTTTTATTCCACCATTGGTGGTTCTGATGCTAAGATATCAAAGGAGTATTTAGGAAGGGGAAAATTCCTACATGGTAAATAATGAAAAGAATCAGCGCTAATAAAAAGTAAATGTGGCAATATTTAAATCATGCATTTCTACTCCCACCCAGAGAATACAATGTCACCCCAAGGAGGACATCCGGATGACAGATGACTTCACATGGAGTCCTCAGACTTCTGCTCAGTGGAGCCCCAGTGGAACCTGGGCAACTGTAGTGGACCAGCCATGCGTCTCAGGTCATGACAACCCCTCTATGCTCCTGCTATATTAAATGATCACTGCTAATGTAAAATCAACATTGGGGTAAAAGATGAAAGGGTAAAGTTCTCCCAAATGATCACTTCTCACTCCAATCCAAAACGCTTACAGCATTCATTATAGATTGAAATGCCACTCAGATTCCATCACTTAGTGTGGCTTTGGAACAGTCGAACCATTAACAGAAGAGAGTAGCTTTTATATTTATACAACCAGTGACTAATGAATTATGCTCAGTGTGCAAAGGGGAACAAGAACTTGAGTTGGTAATGAACCCAATTGGAGCCCTTTTTAAACACAGTGCAATATGGTTTCCCTGTTTCACCGAGCCTCTCATTACGGTGTCAATAATCCTAGGTAAACTACTGTTGGACTTCACAGCATTTATCTAGCAGCATGAATAGCATTAATCTATGGGGTGCTTTTGATGAATTGCAGTCCAGAAAGCAAAGCCAAAAATGACTTCTTACAAAGTGCTTAGAGAAGTGTTTATTAGAAATACGTCAACTGCCAGCTACCGAAGGGTAGCTTGGCTACTTAGGGGGCCGTGCTGTGGACTAGCTTGCCAGCACTGGGATAGGATATGAAGTTCTCACTGGACTTACTTTAAAAAGAAACAAGTAACATACTTTTCCTTTGAGCCTATTATTTCTTCCGGAAATTTCTTTCTAACTTTCTGTATTTTTATATTGTATTGCTTTCAGTGTAACGTGACATGCTATGCTCCATACTCCTAGGGCTGGCGAGATAGCTCAGTGGCATAATTGCCTGCCTGGCAGATGCGAGGTCCCAAGTTTGATCCCTGATAACACACACACACACACACACACACACACACACACACACACACATCATATCCCTAGATTATCAGAGACTATGAGGTGAAAACAAAAAACAAACAAACAAAAAAACTCTTACAAACTTTAGAGTGAATCCATCAGGCTTATGCGCCCACAGCTTCTAAATACCCAGGAGACCTAAAACAGAGGTTGCCCTTGGCTCCAGCAGGAAGAATTGCTTGCCATCTTCCCCCACCTAGTGGTTATTACATTCTCTGTGGCAGGAAGGACGGCAGGGATCGTCTGCACAGACTTACTAGAATAATTCCATTTTGTCATTCTAATTCTATTAGGTTAATCCTTTCCAAAGCTGATCTTTGTACCATTCTAAAATTAAGCTCGGCTCTACTGTTTTCCAGAGGTTTATATGCGGAGAGCAAGATTCCCTGATTGTCCTTATTTGCCAACTATAGAAACACTCTCTGAAAACTGTAAGGATTTTGCAAGCGTGATATAAACATCAGAATATTAGACATTTACTTCGTACCTTTTCTCCACTATTTGGCTACATCATAGCAAGATAAAGACTTTCAAAATATGTTATATTAATTTCTTCTGAAATTAAATATCTTTGTGAAGATTTAGGATTGGCTATCTAAATTTTTTTTTAGAAAAGTATCAAACTGATCCGTGACTCTGACAGTATTCTATTAGATTTGTGGAAAGATAGCAAAGAATGGAGTTTTTATGATTGCTGGGATGCAGTGAATTTATCGTAGCACTTTGTTTCGTACACTACTGCTTATATGATTGGAATAATACATAGAATAAAATAATACCCAAAAGGAAAGTTTCTTCTGTGAAACACGTGAAGGAATTGTTAGTCTCTCACAAGTTACCTTGTCGATTCATAACGTAACCTCACATAAAAGGCGAGAAAACCCGCATTTGAAAATCTTGTCTAATTTTATTTATCGCAGAATTTATCAGTCTCATAAGACTGAGCTTCATCTAGCAGGACGTTAAAGCTGTATTATGACTAACTCCTGGGAGGTCTAAAGGTTGACAGAAATGGTCGTTCCTTTCACTCATGGATATTGATAATTCTCATTTTGTTATAGGTAAACAGATTGTGAAATAAATGCTATCAAGAAGAGTATCTACAGAAATTCAAAATCATTATTTATAAAAAATTAATTATTGATATTCTATACATAGCTCTGTCTTTGCTGTTTTCAGTGACAAGCTACGTTTCTTGTAGCTAGTTATAGCATGAAGTATATTTTTATAATACAATTGAAATTATCTTAAAAGTAATAGTTTTTATGATTTAAGGTTATAATTAAAATATTTATTAATAAAATCTGAAGGCAATGATTAATACAATTAACCTACCACCACTAAAAATGAAATAAAAATATTTCTGAGAAGTTTTCAAAAAATATTTGTATAATAAATGTGATTTTATTTAATTACTGGGTCTTGGAACACTAAATAAAAAATTGGGAGATATATTTATGAGAAGTACTTCCTTTTTTTCCTTTTTATTTTTTTAGTACCAAGGATAAAACTCAGGACCTTGTGTTCAGTAGGCAGGTGCATATGCCGCTGAACTATCTCTCTGGCCCTATCAAAACAACTTCTTAAAAGCAATTTTTAAAACCTTTTAATTTTGCTTACTGTTATAAGGATTTTGACAAATTTCGACCACCTTTCTGGTCATTGTTTCTTTCACGTCCACGGCTTTCCAAAAAGCACTCACCGTGCACAATGAGCACGTACTCTGCGCTGCTTTGGCCAATGGTGTTGGTAGCTTCGCATCGATAGGTGCCGTTGTCCGTCTTGTTCAGGAAAAGAATGTTCAATTCTCTACCGCTCACAACCATTCGATCAGGGTCTGGTAATTCTCCACCGTCTTTTGTCCACAAGACAGGTTCTGGCCTAAGGGATGCAAGCATACATTTAGATAGGAAAAAGTAAATATTACACATTTTATGAATCAAATGAATCAGGCCACTTAGACACGTGTATCAAGCATTTATGCATAACGGTATGCTGACTGTTATAGGTCACAAAAGGACCACTCTCCACTCACTCAAAGGACTTAGAAGTATGGCAAATACAATATAACCTTTTAAAAAATTTATCAGTACATATTTACGGTATGTGATGACACATATGCATCTTCATTCTTCTTGGTTCCCTCCCCTTTCACCTCTCTCCCCACCCACCATCTAGAGTAGACACCACTAGCACTAAGGAACTCCTTGCGGCAGTCACTGCAGATACCCCGCTGACCCAGAGTCCTTCTGCTAATGGCTCCCACTTACACGGAAGGGCTTGAGATGGACTAGTATACCAAGTCTACTGTAGAGCTAACAGAAATTTCATCTTTATTTTTGGGGCTATCGTGCCACACAGCTTTTCCTTAAACTACTTGACCTTTTTATTTCTCTCACTTTCTCATTCTCTGGTAGAATACTTTTGAATTTTTATTTTAATAAAATAGAAGCACACACTGCATAACAGAGTTATAGTCAGCGAAGGATCACACACACCGCAGGGACCTCATACAATAATATTTCCTAGCAATGGCATGAGTACCTTTAAATGGACATGAACACTATGATGTACATAAAACAAAGATGCTGCCTGAAGTGCCTATTTCCAAAACTCTCTTCATGGCTAAGTTAGCCAAGGTTATACTTGAGCAAAGCAGTCCACTTTCTTGGCTGCTTTTAGGGTAGAAAGGACAAGATAACTGTATGTTCTCATCTCCAAAGTTTTAGCTTTTAATAATCATAAATAATATCATTAAGAATGGTTACCTCCTAGACCATGTTTTAATATGTGCTTATGATTGTAGCTTTGCATATATTTCTATAATTCCATAAAAGCATTTCCAAGAATGCTGTAACATGCTTCCTCACTGCAGTGGAAGACAGAAGATTAGAGATGTCCTCAAACCCTGGGCTGACTCCACAGCCCTTAGTTCAACCACTGCCTGTTGTTTTTCAACATGATGACTTTTTTTATTTCGATGCAAATATTTTCTACTTTAAACTTAGTTTTTTAGGGCAGGCCAAATATCTCAGCAGATTAAAGTGCATGCAAGAAGGTGCAGTGGCTGGGGGCTCAATCTCCAGACCTGCTGTGCTGGCCCTGCCCCTGGGGCACGGTGAGAGGGCAATTGAGCCTGGGTGTGGTGGCACACACCTGTAATCCCAGCTCTTGGGAGGTTGTAAACAGGTGGATTACTACGAGTCCAATCCAGTTGTTAGACC